TTAAAATAAAAAATAATTTTAAAATAAATTTACCGTTTACACGTTTTTCTGACTTTTAGTCTGTTGTCAGACAGGACAGAGTCAGCTATAACCGTAAAGCTCAAATGGATTTTGGTTTAAATTCAGTTTACAGCGTTATTTTATTCCACATTGATTAGTATTATTATGAGCATTTATTTTATGTACAGCCATTGATTGTTTGTCATTAAAAGTTCTATCAATATATGCTTACCTAAGCTTTTTTACTTGTATTGTAGGGTCATGCTGTAGGCAATGCTTTCAGCGGAGGAGGTCACGAAGGCGTTCCGGCTGAACAGGCACCATTGAGTCCACCTGTGAATTACCAGTCGCCCTTTCAAAAAACCTGCGAGTTTGAAATGGAACAGTTTCTGCAGTGCACCAGAAATAATGATTTGTCAGTTTGTGAAGGCTTTAATGAAGCCTACAAGGAGTGCATGAAGCGCAGTGGACTTTAGTATAACTTAGCGAGGCGTGACGTAACTTTGACGACTTCATTTTCGTATTTGCTTGCTCGATTTTGTGTTTTATCTATAGTATGGTTATTATGCAGATGATATCAATTTATACAACAGTTGCTAGAGAATGAAAAATAAATTTCCACAGTTGATGTGTTGTTTGAAGAAACAAAGAAATCAAAACATTGTCTGATAATAGCATGCTAGTAACTACATAAGATCGGGTATATTTTTGTATAAATATGCCTATGAGTAGTGGCATAGCTGCAGGTGTCCGAGAAGGTCTTTGTCAGCCCTATCTAGTGATGCGGTTTTGCATTCATGCTTTGCAGGTGCTCAGATATCATGGACCCGTGGCCTGCTTAAATGGCCAGCCACCTTGGCGACTAGAAGCAAGGGGATGGTGCCATTGCGCCGCTTCGATCCGGTATCAAAAGGAAATATATCAAAACGAAATGTTAAAATATTACTTCCCACAGTTGAACGAAAATTTGAGTAAAAATTTGATCAGTTAAATATTCTCTAAAGTAGGTTTTCATCAGTTAGCAGATAGATAGTTAATGATTTTCGTCTTTCACGGCCGCTTCTGCTTTCGGGTTGCCGAGACAGATTCCAACGTTCCCCATCCAGTGCCAGATTCTGAGCTTTGCAAGAAGACAACTGGAGTCTGGAACAGACTCCT